CCCATCCTTATCGCTCGCGCGTAATTATGTTGCTATCGCGCTCGCACACTCACTGCGGGCGCCCGTCGCACAGTCGCGACAGCAATATAAAATTACGCGCGAGCGATAAGGATGGGTAGCTTGGGGTCATTGGACAAAATTCTACGTGCTCACAGACCGGGCTTTACCTCTTTAAAGTAACTGCCAAAGCAACTAATATATGCTATGAAAGTTTATCTCTTATTTCTGATTGCGGGTCCTATAAATCTCCCAAATTCTTTATGGTACAGATAGATAGTACACATGCCGCTCTAAAAACAAGCAAGATGAAACCTAATTACGTACCTTGAAGGTCCTATCGCAAATGGGGCACATGGGCGGCTTCTTGCAGTTGGCCTTGATCCAATTAGAGTGCGATCGCATGTGCTGCTTCAGCCAACGAGCGTGCTTGAACTCCTTATGACAGAGGTTGCAAACATGGCGGCCCGGTGCCACCGATGACGTAGCTTGGAAGACCACCATTTGCATGTACGATTCTTCGTCCGAGTTGAGGAGCTCGTCTTCTTTCTGGACTGGAGCTGGTTGCTCTGGCTGAAAGGAATATTAAGACTAATCAAGGACGTGTCGTGTTCTCTGAAGAATAGGCTCTTAACGGCTACTCCTTGAAAATGATCAAATTCGGTCGAAGTCTGGTGAAAAAACGGTCAACAGATGCTATGTAGATACCTATAGTAACCAAAGTACCTTATGGCATTAAGTTCGCCTAATGTTAATATTTTTGGCATTGAAGTATACCTAAATAAATAAATAAAATAAGTACTCGTATAGTACTAAATATTTTGTCGACAGTGGAACAAATTGGTCAATCTGAAATGAATTACAAAGCTACCGAAATCTGGAGGAAATTGAGGTTGAACTAGTTTTTGTTACACGAAAATTCTTTATTTCACTATCGTTCAGCCTTTATTTTGAATAGGAAAACTTACCATGAACACTTTATCACTGAACGCGTCCTTTTCTTCCTGCACGACCGTCTCTTCGGTGCTGAAGAAGTTTTCCAAGATCTGGCTGTCGGAATTGATGATCGGCACTTCCATGTACTGCATAAAGGGCTCTGTGCAGGTCAGATTCAGCATCTTTTCTTTCTGAAAGGAACAAGGGTTTTACATTATTATACGAAAATTTTAGATCTTTAGAATGACTATGCGCTCATTGCACCTCTCGTTATAACTCCTGCAAGACTGCATAGTCTGGTATGAATGATATTAAAACCCAACTATCCAGGGTAGGGTTGCCAGGTCCAAAATCACAAAAGCCGGACTTTGTGCTTCATTTGGCCGGACATTTTACCCTAAAAGCCGGCAATTAGTGTCAGCTCATGAGTGAGTACTATAACATCATTCGCCTGGCGCGGTAACTAAATAAAAAGCCTAACAAAAGCCGGACAGGCCGGACAAGGCAATATTTGGCCGGACAAGTCCCTAAAAAGCCAAACACGTCCGGCTAAAGCCGGACGCCTGGCAACCCTCGTTTCAGCCGAAAGACGTCCACTGCTGGACAAAGGCCTCCCCCAAGGATTTCCACAAAGACCGGTCCTGCGCCGCTTGCATCCAGGTACTTCCCCACAGTCCCTAAAAAGCCAAACACGTCCGGCTAAAGCCGGACGCCTGGCAACCCTAATCCAGGGAAAATTTAATAGAGAAAAAATACTCGTAACCCTCGAAAAAGGTGGACTCTTTTCGATACAATATGCGCAAGTAGTATTTAATTGTTCTATAAGTTTTTGATCAATCTTTCGGTTAGATGAATTTTCTCATTCAAGTTTAAACCATTGAACCGAATTTTTATTCAGAATATTGGAAGGAGAACACCACGTCACACGTGTTAAATACTTTCTGTAAGAGACCGAATGTCACGCACGCGGGTGAAGGCGCGGGCAAAAGTTAGTCAAAGAGAAAACCCACCTCCTGTCTCTCAAGCTTGAGCGCTTCTTCAGCCATAGCCTTGGCCTGTTCCCGCAGCGTGACGTCATTCCTCTCCACCAGTTCCTTGAAGGCGTGGCAGCGGGAGATCTGGTGCACGCACTGGAGACACAGCTGGTTGGGCAGACCGTCGCCCATCGATACCTGGTGGCCAAGAAAATGTGAACTTGGAGGCTATACTAGCAAGTCATGATCGAAATATGTATTATGTATTTATGTAAGAGATGCTAAGGAAAAGTCTCACTGTGGAAAATGAGGCAATCATCCTGCCTATTAATCGATTGTTTGTTAAGTATATATGAATTATCTTAGTGACTTCTTCATTTGGATAAGAAAAAATATCTAACTACCTATACTTCCTACTATATTAACCGTTTTACCAATCTCCATGATCAGAAAGCTTTCTGATCATTCTGATGATGTATTCTACTATAATAATTCCGTACACCGTAAGTTATGGCAACATAAATGTGTCTTACGTACTTTTATTACTCTATTATTATTTAAGGTGTTTTAACGCGTTGATGTCTTTTCCACTGTTTTGGTATTATTTAGCTGTCTCTTTCTATCTTATAAATTACTTGAACTCTAAGCTAAGCATTACTAATTAAATTAACTACCTATCCCTTTTCAGACTTGTACCTACTCCATACGAACTTTCGTAACTTTCATCCTCTATTTCATACCCCTTGGTACGAAATTATTACAGAGATGTCGCTCTCTACAACCTTTTTTTTTTTCTACATAAACGTTAGTTAGATGGTATGTAGGTGGATATGATACCTACTTAATGCAATGGAGTTTCTTAGAAGATTTTGCAAATCTTGCGCGCTATTTATGTTGGGTGTTGACTGATTGGGTCTCATAACCTTACTTCGTATGTAGTGCATTTTCATATTGCTTTCATATCCACATAACTTAGTATGTATAGTAAGTCGTTCAGTTTAGATAATTATGTTTTAAAAAGTTAATTAAATGTTTCCCGCTATTTCTCTGTTTAAAGTAAAGGACGACTGTATACAATATTTAATATATTTTTGTTACTATCTCCGTCAGTCATCGATTGTACGAAAGTTCGTGCATACATCCGGCATCCCGTTCACACTGCAGCGCCCCACATACGACAGACAGAGATAGCAGTGATTTCACAATTTTGAACATACGCATTGCGTCGAGAATTCTCAAAATCTGATGAATTCTAAACAAAGATGACGCGATGGGAGTCTCTCACTATCGACACGCATCACACGCCGTTCCCGTAGGTGCGAGAGAGACAACAATACATTCCCAAAATAATTTCGATTATAGGAACTCACCTGCACTTTAGATATGCCCATCAGCATGGTAGCTGTGAGTTGCTCGAAGAGCGGTCTCATGTCCTTTTTTATCTGCAAACAAGCCCGACATATTTTGTCGAACTTCAAAACCTGCGTTCGAGGGGCAGCCATTTTGATCTGCAGCTATCTTATTCACTTCGTCCTTGTTTTTAGTCAATCCACATTTACGAGAATCGAAATAAAATTACTACCACGTCACATGTTTACGAAAACTAAATGACACCAAGTTGTTTTTTGTTTGAGCAGTTTAAAGGCATTTAGAATACGTATTTAACACTAAAATACAGCAATAATAACACCACTGTACGCTTACGAAAGCAAAGAAAGAAAGAATGCGATGGGTGGGGTGTGACCCGTGTTCACTGCAGAGTAGAGCGAGCGAATGCGATGGCGTGAGGTAGCAAATTATACGAGTGCGACAGAGATAGATAACTGTTGAATGTGTTCAATACAAGTTAGCTCAATACCAAATGAAAGAGTTGGCATGACGTTCTCAAGACGCAATTATTCATGAAATATCAAAACAAACTTCGCGCTAAATACTAGATGCATTAATTTGTTTCTTTTAATCTCAACTTTACTTAATAAATTGGGAGGAAAAATAATCGGCCATTGATCGGAATTAAATTAACCATGAAAAGAGACAGTCGCACTTAATTACAAGTTAATTGTTGGTTTTTTATTACAACTTAGGTATTACAACAGCAATAGTTAACTTTTAAAACCAATATTTATTTTAAAAAAAATCTCTTTTTAACGCCACGAACACAGAACTCTACATTTTCGCTTCGTTCATTTGTTTGATAGAGAAAGTTACATGACGATATCCACGCTTTGCATAATTTCATTGTAGGTAAATAAAGGCTTACTTTTGAATACGAGTATTTAATTAAGCTCTAGTTATGTGCTATACGTCTCTTGCTATCACTACGATTTATCTTGATTGCGTTTAAAAGTGATACCACCGGACTAATACCTCTACAACTTTAGGAACCACGTAATTAAGTAGAGAGTAGATATGGCGATTAGTATTATGTACTTAAATATTCGGTATAAATTACTAATCACGTACTTATAAGAATAATATTTATTTATTTTAACATAAATTAATTAGAAATAGAGCAATATCGGCTCATCTCACACTTGTATGGTCGTGGGTTCATGCGTTCATGTCCTTATGTCCTACTACATGATGATACATTATAAAGCTTCAATTAACAACTTTTACTAATTAATACTATAAACATAAAGCTGGTAAAGCGTCTGGTCTCGTGGACTTTTAAGCGGGAAAGTTCAGCATTAGCAGTTTGTTTTATTTCCTAGTTTTCAGACAAGGACAACTAATTCATGTGGATTATTTTGGATTAAGTAAAAACCATTAATTAAGTGTTCGTGAGCCTGTATAACAATGTAGACAAACAATACAGTGCAACAAACAACACTTAAAATTCTCCCAAGTCGTCCGTGCCTCAATGTCTCAGTGGTTTCAGTAAAAAGATTTACTGAAACTGATGGGCATGGGGAGGACGGGGAGGTTGTCATGTTGTCATTATTTATTTAATTAGTTTATAGAAGGTTTAGAGACAATATTTTTTTAACAACAATAGCCTTTTCATAAAACTTGTCTGTGTGATGTAACGCCTTTGTCTTTTCCTACAAAAATAAATGGTAATTTAACATTTATGGCCTGTCAATAGTGTCAAATTCAATGCTGTCATTTTATTTTTATTTTGTGCTTGGTGGTTTATCGAAAGAAATGTAAATTTTATTCTTGTTTTGAGAAAAAGATAAAGTAAATTAACGATTCGCGATCCAGTATTTTCGTTAAAGGCATCAACATGTCGTCTATTACAGGATCTTCATGGGAAGGTGTGTATCTTTTGTGTGTAAAAAGTAAGAAGTACCGGTTGAGTTAAGATATGACGTAGCAAACTCAAACCGTTCCCTAATGTATTTATCTAAACATCATAATATAATCCCATTACTTCGCCGTAACCCGTTTACTCATTTAAATCCTAAGAGCACATGTAATAAATCAACAGCATTTGCTTCTAAATTACAAAGCCTAGTGCCAAGACTGCATTAGTAATAGTCATGATGATCACTATCTTATTTATTGATAGTGTTACCACACAAAATAGTTTGTTACCCCTGTCCAAGTAAACTTAGCTGGGAATTTGGCTCAAGAAAATAATTAATGCTAGAAAAGACAATGTTTTAGGCTTTGTTATTATTTAAAAATTACCCTTGTGGAATATAACTAATACCCATATCAAGGAGTTGCTGTTTTTGAAATGATAAACACTACCTATAAAATATCCTTACAGAGATGCGGAAGCAAGCTCGAATGCTGGAAAATGACATAGACGTGAAGCTTGTAGCGTTCAGCAAATTGGGAATGAGCAGTGGCTCATCAGGTCTGAGCTCGGAAAGTGCACCACTTATCAGTAGTGAAGATATGTTCGATACTATGTCTATGGAGTTACAACAGTTGCTGAATAAGGTAAATCAGTAACTTTAGTAACATAAATCTGATTTAGAATGGATAGATTTTTTTTTTATTGTAGCTAAATATGGTGGGGACCTTTAGATCTCTAGTGGTAAAACCTTGAGCTTTTATTAAGTTGTTTAAGGTTTACTAACTAGTATGAGAGGAGATGCTTGTAACATCTACAGTAAAACAGCTTGGAAATGTATTAGGAATTAAAGTTATATTTTTTTCTATTGTCTTACAGCTTTCATCAATAAATGACAAAATGGCAGAAATGGCACCTGGAGGTGCTGCCACTATGCACACAATAAAGAGACATAGAGAAATTCTAATGGTAAGTAATAATGCATGTGTTTATGTTCTTTTGCAATAATAAGACTTCTTATGGATATTGTTTTATTTGCCTAATATAAATTCTTATAAGAGCAGTAAGCAAAGCAAGGGCAGCAGCACTCTCTGATTAACATTAATCTTTTAAACTGCGATCTTCAACCTGCCTACCAAGCGTGGAGATTATGGCAAAACCGTCCACTAATGTGGAGGAGGCTCACGAAGGCGATGATGATGATGATGATAAGAACAGTTCTCAATAGCTGTTATTCCTTTTTTTTTCTCTTATATCCGTGGTCCCAGTGTCAATCTGTAGGGAACTACAATAATCCACTCCTGTCTGTTTGCACTGTTTGTCATGTGCAGGGTGGAGTCCAGTAACTCCATTGTCCTCAGTGGTCATGGTTTCTCAACTGTCCTGGAATCTACTAAGGAGTAAGGGGTCATACACTAGCTCTTTGCAGTCTGCTAAATAGGAAGCCTTCAATGGTCATGAGTTGTTGGGCTGATGTGTTTGGATGATTTGAAAGTCTATCCTTGTAGCGGAGTGTGTGGTTTTTTATTACCTCTCTGACTGTGGGCAATGGCAAGTCCTGATAGACGAGCCTGTTGCTGATATACCACGGGATTTGGTAAATCTACACTAATATTATAAAGAGGAAAACTTTGTTTGTTTGTTTGGTTGTAATGAATATGCTCAAAAACTACTGGACCGTTTTTAAAAATTCTTTCACCATTCGAAAGCTACATTATCCACGAGTAACATAGGCTAAATTTTATTTTGGAAAAAAATAGGGTTCCGTAAAATATGTAGATAATGTAGTCCACGCGCGCGAAGCCGCGGGCGGAAAGCTAGTCAAACATATAGCTGTTATTCTGGCATAGTTTTATGTAATTAAATCATACAAGAATTATAACACACATGCACTGTAGGACTATCAACAAGAGTTCTCTAAGACCTCCGCTCGTGTGTCGGCGCGGCGCTCGCGCGAGGAGCTGCTCCGCGGCAGCAGCCCGCCGCCCGGCGCCGCCTCCGGCCTCAACCGCCGCGACCAGTACGCCAAGGAGGCCAACCACCTGCACAGGTGAGGCTGCCTGTCCTTACAGCGGAGCGAGCCACAATGACTACAGCAGGAGGCCAACCACTTGCACAGGTGAGGCTGCCTGTCCTTACAGCGGAGCGAGCCACAATGACTACAGCAGGAGGCCAACCACTTGCACAGGTGAGGCTGCCTGTCCTTACAGCGGAGCGAGCCACAATGACTACAGCAGGAGGCCAACCACTTGCACAGGTGAGGCTGCCTGTCCTTACAGCGGAGCGAGCCACAATGACTACAGCAGGAGGCCAACCACTTGCACAGGTGAGGCTGCCTGTCCTTACAGCGGAGCGAGTCACAATGACTACAGCAGGAGGCCAACCACTTGCACAGGTATGCCTGGAAAAGAAAAACATTAAACTTGATTTTCAATCGAGCAAAGGGACTTAAAGTGACATTATAATGTAGTACATGAGTATGTGTGCCATAATTATTCAGGTAAAGTAAAAGAGCCTACCCGTGGATGTCATAAGAGGCAAATAATAGGAGAATATGCAAACATCAGGCCTCCCCAACCCATCTAGCTAGTGGGGGAAGTGCAGAATTAATCCTCCCTATTCACTCTGGTATATTACAGAAGGTCGTCCTTACAATGGAGACTAAATAACCATCATGAGTACTTACAGTTCCAGTTCAGCGTGGTGTTGCTACAGCTATGTTCGAAGAACTAACCACTATCAAAGTTGTATCACTTAAAGACTAATATCTATCTGTTCCAGCTCTCACATCCTCGTGGACGAGCAGATCAATATAGCTATGGAGGCGCGCGAGCACCTCACGTCGCAGCGGCAGACCTTCAAGCGCATGCAGACGAGGTTCAACGACATCACTAACAGGTCAGCTTTCATTCATTTACTTTAAATATGATAATGATGATGAATTTCCGAACACAAACGAGTGCCAATTTCCATAATAGTGTATATGAAGCAAAATTAGCCGATTGTCTCTTTCCATCGATGTGCAATATTTACCGCCGGCANTTGTAGCGTTTAGCAAATTGGGAATGAGCAGTGGCTCATCAGGCCTGAGCTCGGAGAGTGCACCACTTATCAGTAGTGAAGATATGTTCGATACTATGTCTATGGAGTTACAACAGTTGCTGAATAAGGTAAATCAGTCACTTTAGTAACATAAATCTGATTTAGAATGGATAGATTTTTTTTTTATTGTAGCTAAATATGGTGGTGACCTTTAGATCTCTAGTGGTAAAACCTTGAGCTTTTATTAAGTTGTTTAAGGTTTACTAACTAGTATGAGAGGAGATGCTTGTAACATCTACAGTAAAACAGCTTGGAAATGTATTAGGAATTAAAGTTAATATTTTTTTCTATTGTCTTACAGCTTTCATCAATAAATGACAAAATGGCAGAAATGGCACCTGGAGGTGCTGCCACTATGCACACAATAAAGAGACATAGAGAAATTCTAATGGTAAGAAATAATGCATGTGTTTAAATGTTCTTTTGCAATAATAAGACTTCTTATGGATATTGTTTTATTTGCCTAATATAAATTCTTATAAGAGCAGTAAGCAAAGCAAGGGCAGCAGCACTCTCTGATTAACATTAATCTTTTAAACTGCGATCTTCAACCTGCCTACCAAGCGTGGAGATTATGGCGAAACCGTCCACTAATGTGGAGGAGTCTCATGATGGCGATGATGATGATGATAAGAGCAGTTCTCAATAGCTGTTATTCTTTTTTTTTCTCTTATATCCGTGGTCCCAGTGGCAATCTGTAGGGAACTACAATAATCCACTCCTGTGTCCGTTTGCACTGTTCTTTGTCATGTGAAGGGTGGAGTACAGTGACTCTATTGTCCTTAGTGACGGTATTGTTTCTCAACGGTCTTCAGGCGCGGATCCACCGTTGTGGGCATGTCCACAACCCTAATTTGCTTGTTTTATTTATGATCTATTGATAAGATCGATAGGCTGATGATAAAAACGGCTGACTGATGAACCTTTAAAAATCGAGCGTGATTGAGCGTGAGTGAGTTCGTACTCCAATCCAACTCTCACTTTGCAAATTTTTAGTGGCAGTGCCCACAACCTTTTTTGAGGGCTGGATCCGCGCCTGACGGTCCTGGAATCTATTAAGGAGACCCCTGACACTAGCTCTTTGCAGTCTGTTGAATAGGAAGCTTTCAATGGTCACGAGTTGTTGGACTGATGTGTTTGGATGATTTGAAGGTCTATCCTTGTAGCGGAGTGTGTGGTTTTTTATTACCTCTCTGACTGTGGGCAATGGCAAGTCCTGATAGATGAGCCTGTTGCTGATATACCACGGGATTTGGTAAATCTACACTAATATTATAAAGAGGAAAACTTTGTTTGTTTGTTCATTTGGTTGTAATGAATAGGCTCAAAAACTACTGGACCGTTTTTAAAAATTCTTTCACCATTCGAAAGCTACATTATCCACGAGTAACATAGACAAAATTTTATTTTGGAAAAAAATAGGGTTCCGTAAAATATGTAGATAATGTAGTCCACGCGGGCGGAAAGCTAGTCAAATATATAGCTGTTATTCTGGCATTGTTTTATGTAACTAAATCATACAAGAATTATAACACACATGCACTGTAGGACTATCAACAAGAGTTCTCCAAGACCTCCGCTCGTGTGTCGGCGCGGCGCTCGCGCGAGGAGCTGCTCCGCGGCAGCAGCCCGCCGCCCGGCGCCGCCTCCGGCCTCAACCGCCGCGACCAGTACGCCAAGGAGGCCAACCACTTGCACAGGTAAGTGTGCAGGGCCGTCTTTAAACTATTGGGGGCCCTTTTTGTTTAAAAAAGAAATCTCAATATAACTTTTTAGCGATTACATACAACATAACAATACTGTATTAATTAAATAAGAGCTGGCAACGCGAACGCTAAGCACTTGATCTTAATAAAGAAGGAGCTAGTCTGAACTCTGAAAATGATTAAAACAGATTTACTGACTGTGGTCACAGAAATCCACTTGTGTTCTATTTTAAATGTAATAAAGCATGTGTATCGTAAGTGCCAAAATGCTGATCAAAACTGAATAAATTTTACGTCATGCTCATTGACAACTGTTGGATTGTATAGGCTAGCTCTTTGTCAAAGTCTGAAAGATTTATCTCTGTTCCAGCTCGCACATTCTCGTGGACGAGCAGATCAATATAGCCATGGAGGCGCGCGAGCACCTCACGTCGCAGCGGCAGACCTTCAAGCGCATGCAGACGAGGTTCAACGACATCACTAACAGGTCAGCTTTCATTCATTTACTTTAAATATGATAATCATGATGAATTATGGCATTTCCAAACACAAACGAGTGCCAATTTCCATAATAGTGTACACAGGTAATAATAGTGTATACAGGGTGGAAACGATAAGTGATCTCACTCGATTATTTCTAAACTATACAAGATATCGAAAAACTGGTTACTGATCCTGAAAGTGCTTCACGAGCTCTATCAAACGGTACCAATAATAGATTAGATAATAAACTGGATCTATCCGAAAATTCAATGTTTCCGGCTTCCATACATTTGGTACAGTCTTAAATATGAAGCAAAATTAGCCGATTGTCTCTTTCCATCGATGTGCAATATTTACCGCCGGCAGTGTAGACTCCTTTGTATATGGAAAGGGGTATAATTGTGTTTGATATGCCTTGCGCACATTGTTTTATTTTTCCTGATAAACCCTTTAGCTGTATAAGTGAAGAGTGAGTTCAAAACAATCCGCAGGAGAACCAAAGTGACCGACATAGCTCGCAGAATTGCTAAAATCAAGTGGCAGTGGGCGGGGCACATAGCTCGTAGAGACGATGGCCGTTGGGGCAGAAAAGTTCTCGAGTGGCGACCACGGGCTGGAAGACGTAGCGTGGGCAGGCCTCCTACTAGGTGGACCGACGATCCTAATTGGAGGAGGAGGCCTTTGTCCAACAGGTGGACGTCATTTGGCTGAAACGAACGAACGAGTTCTAAACAATAGTCACATTGTAGCATTCACAAGAAAAACTACGTCTTGTTAAATGCAAACTTAATTATAGGTGAAAACAACATGCATTGGAGGTTGAAGAACTGACAATAATTAATATGGTGTAATGAAGCCCCTATGTTTATGTAAATGTTTTTCAATAACTAATTAATTTTGTTCTTAGATTCCCGATGCTGAATAGCCTGATGTTCCGAATAAACGCCCGCAAACGGCGCGACTCGCTGATCGTCGGCATAGTGGTGGCAGTTTGTACTTTCTTGCTCCTTCTATACGCCTTCCACTAGATGTGAAGTAGGTTTACACTGGTCAGTTGCGACAAGAGGTCCTTTTATAAAGGAGAATTTTGAATGTTGGATTTTAAACTTCATTTTAAGGGTCCGTACGTCAATAGTAAATGGCACTCTCAAAACCCTTTTTCTCAAGGACCAAGACGAATATTTTTCGTTATACCACATTTTTGACATTACAAACTTAATTTTGGAGTTAGCTAGTATTGAAAAAATATCTTTTGACTGATTAAGTCAAGGCTGCAAGACAAGCCTGGAACAGAGTGGTTAGTGCACATATCCAACTCGCGCTTGACCGATTTTTTGTTAATATGTTGCCCGTGCATGTGGCCTATTTGTGTCCAATAATTTGAATTTTTTTGCTGATCCAGAAAAATCATTTTGGGTTGGTCAAACGGCAGAAGTGTTTGCATATTAATTACTAGTGTGTCATGGTTAAGTTCATTTGACATAATTTTGAGTCATAGACAACCCAAGGGAAAAATACATTCCTCGCGAATTTCATGAATGCAAAAACACTCAATAATTTTAAAATAATTTGCATTTTTACTTATAATTTGATAGGTGTTTAACTGTGAAATGGTCGTTTTGGTAAAATACTTTTTCAATACCTATGATATATTAACATTTTTTCGTACAAATGAAGCAATTTCAAGCTAACAGCAACTTAAAGAAACAAAATGATAGAAAAATGGCTCTTGCTTGAATGTTTTCAACTGTAAGAATAATCGCAGTTTCATCTTTAAACACCAAGTAATGAACTTAATTTGTTAAAAGTTTCAATGTTAAGTTGGTAGGTATAGTTATAATATAAGTTTTATTTAATCACGGTGAAAGACTTGGTAGAATGTGATAGAACGAATTACGACGAGAAAAATTGTTATGGAATAAAAATAAATTAGCTCAAAAAATTAACAATTTTGTTTGATCGAGTAGTTGATACCGCCAATCAATTAAAGTCCTTTTATAAATTACTTTATTACATGGACCTTGGTCACCAGTGGCGCCAGCTGGTAAGAAAAATTATTGTGGTTTCAGGGGTAATCTTAAATACATATTTGCAAAACCTTGAAATTATTTATATTGATGGTGTCAACTACTTATTCAATGGATTTGACGGTATTTTGTGAAAATATGCAAAAGGTTCTAATTTATACGTTTCACTATTTCTAGCTTGAGGCACATCTGCAAGTTATGTATTTTTAATTCTCAGTTTGTCTCACTCTTGGCAGTACAGTATGCCAGAAAAATGAGGGAGAGAGATGCAATAATAACGATAGATTAAACCACCCGGAGACCATTTTTTTGAAACGAATTCATTTCGCATACGAATCTAATGTAATCGTATGCGATTTGTGCTATTTCGTTTGCATAGGATGGGATTTCAACAACAAACCTAGATTGAAGAGGAACATTTTAATTAAGATATTATGTTATGTGATAAAGATATAAAAATAAATAATAATATTGTGACTGTCCTCTCCTCTTACCTGTATTTATGTAATATAATTCTATCTAATTTACTTATTGTAAAGGAACTTGTAAATACTTATATCTGCTATTTACCAAAATAAAAATCTTATTTATTTACAAAAATGTTTTATTTAAGCGTATGGTAGATACATAGTATCGTAAAATCAGACTGAACTTATGCTAAAGGTGGTATTTTTATCAGTACCTTGATTTCAATATTCAAAATGAACAATTCATGCAATTTTCAAATGTCCAAAAGTGATATGCCAATATTTTGATAAAAAATATTTTTAAAATATGTTAAAATACAACATATTATACGTATATTTCGTATAAGTTTAGATTTTTCAGATATCAGCATAAAAATTTAAGTAAACTGGTACACATTAAAAAGTATAAAATGTTTTTTAACTTTAAAAATCTAACAGTAGGTAGTACTGATGTACGTTTACTTCACTCTGTAAAGTTAAAAATAAAGAAGTTACTTAGTGTAAAACAAAATATTCAAAATGCTTGACAATTTAAAAACTTAAAATGAGACGTTAAACATATAACTCTCTTTCCCACAACAGATTCAAGTGTACCTTATAGTAAGGTTTAGCTTTTGCTGACTAGACGGACTATAATCATAATGGGAAATTATCACATGCCCTTTTGAACCTTATTGTCTAGTCTTAAGAGCTAATCTAGTTTAATTGCTGTTTAATGATAAAGCCTAAAGGTTTGAATCCGTCACCAGCAATGCACGACAGTGAAACGCGTAACTTTTTAGGAGTGGAAAATATTGTATTAAATTTAAATAGCCCATTGGTAAATCTGCCTTTGGATTTTATGCTCTCTCGTCTCTACTGCGTGTTGTCGCTGGTATCGGAGTCAAACCTCATTCAAAACCCAGAAGATAATTAAGTACTTGAAATACTGGACGATGATTATGATCAGATAAAAAAGCCTAAAATATTATAAGACTGTAAAAAAATATTTAGGAACTACGCTTAAAATTGTTCATGACTGTACATTTAATTTCGTAATGACGACATGCAGAACAATGTCGTATTGTAGTTTTTTGGCATATTATGTTAGCATGCAGCTATGATAGTTTTCAAAAGCTAAAACCAAACTAAAATTAACTTTTTTTTTAGTTACCTACTTCAATTACCTATACTCCGTTTACATAATAAAAATATACATTGAGTAATTTCACACATTAGACAGCCATGAGGTTTTTTAGTACAAACTATTTTGTCCTTAAACTATGTCCATGACGCAGTTATCACATAAACAGCCTAAATACATTCTGACAGATACTAGAAACTGAACCAGAGTAAGAGAATCCACGCCCCCGTTCTGTTTTTACAACTTATAAGTATACGCTTTACGCTGTATGTCCCTGTATGCTTAGATCTTTAAAACTACGTAACGGATTTTGATGCGGTTTAAAGAAATAATATCAATTTCTCACTCAGCTTCTGTACTATCTGATCTACCATTGCAAGTTTTACTTATATTCACAACTTAATGGTCACATTAATAGTTTTTGATTCAATTGACGGAACACGTTGGTAAAATGCGTCTAAAATTATAAAAAAATGAACCAAAAAGATAATATTAAAAACAAGACAACTCAGCCTTAGTGTTCACAAATGACGTCGGAGGCATCAATGACTAATTATTTTGTTGGTGATATGTATTTGATGCCTCCGACTGCATTTGTGAACCTAAGGCTGAGTTGTCTTGTTTTTATTCTTTTTAGTTCATTTTTACGCATTTATTTATATAATAATAATTTCATTTTAATCTTTAGTTAAATAACGTACATTTTTGTAAGCTACTTAAAAAGCCCTTTATTTTGATATGTTATGATATGCCACTCGATATGTTTTGAGAAAAAAAAATATCTTTTCAAAGNAACTTGACATGCCACGCTAGACGTAAACGCTCTTAATGCGCCTAAAATCACCATTTAGATTTTTTCTAATTTAATATAGCCAGTGTCACTTTCACAAGACGAATTAAATGACACCTCTCACGCTAAAATCGGTCAAGCCGTTTAGGCTGTAGGCCGTGCCAAAGAAATATACATATAATCGAAAAACTTCTTCTGGCGCAGTCGGATAAAAATACTATTCGGCTTTTATCTAGGATCGCTCCTGATTCAGATCTGAAGTTCCATAATTCACTTATCTGTCAATCATCATCATCGTCATCATCATCATCATCATCACTTCCGTGAACATTGAGGATATGACTCCTAAGGCTGCATTTCTGAGAGAAGCTTCTGGAACAAGTGTTGCATTTGAAAGGTTTTTCACCAGTGTGGGTGCGGAAATGTTTCTCCAGGTCCCCTTTGATCGCGAACCTTTTCCCACAGGCTTCGAGCGGACACACAATAGTCTTGTTGTGCATGCGTTTGTGTAGGTAATACTTTTTCCATGATTCAAATGATTTTGAGCATTCCTGAAACAGAATGGCAATGTTAATGCTATAATTAATAATAATAATAAATTCGCTATCAATTTTGATTCGATAAAATCGCTGTACAGTTTGCCGTTTCATAGAAAGTTAAGCTATATGGAATTTTAAATTATAATTACTAGCTTTTGCCCGCGGCTTCACCCGCGTGAAATTTAGTTTGTCGCAGATCGTCATAATTATAGCCTATATATCATAGTTTCATCAAAATCCGTTCAGTAGTTTTTTCGTGAAAGAGTAACAAACATAACTTTCACATTTATATTGTTATACATTTATTAGGAATAGGATTATGTAGTTGATAGGTACTCTTAAAATACTTACAGTACAGTCAAATGCTATGACACTGCTACTAGTAGTGCTGTCAAGTTTAGCTCTTTTGGATGTAGATTTTCTTTTTTCTCTTGATTCATTGTGCTCTGAATTAAATTGAGGTATGCTGGATGATATCTGTAAAAAATAGAACGCATAATAAAAATAAGGTGCTCAAAATAAACATACCTGTCTATATTTTTTCTGATATTGCAATACCTGTAGAGTAATCATTAATAGATACAAAATTCAAAATGGTAAGTTTTAAAACCTTAATCCACTGACAATTCTGGCTCAGTAATTATTAGACATATTAAAACTTATGTTGTTATTTGTTTTCCTTTGTAACCATCCATAGAAGCAGGTATTCAACCATCAACAAAACAAACAAACAGTCTAGATAATGTAAATATATCTAAAAATACAGATTAGAGAACAGGTAAGAAGATATAGCAGTCAGTAACTTACAAAGAAAAGCATACGGGCCAGTAGTGGCGTAAGGAGGGGCGGTCCGCCCAGGGTGCCAAGCATCAGGGGGTGACACAAGTCGTGCAGATTAGTTACCCCAAAATGGGGGGTACCAGGGGGTGCCTTAGGACTTATGACGGGGGGATGGAGGGTGATCGCCCCGGGTGCCAACCCATGCATGCTACGCCGCCACTGATACTGGCAGCAAAAAGTATAAATCCACCACTGGACAGATGATCAGTGGAAGTTGAAGATGGCCTATAAAATTCCTGGTACTTAGAGTTACTGATTCTAATAATTAACTTTCAACAAAAATCAGTAACTAAGTATTATGAAAATTTAAACAGCACCCATAACACAAGCATATTAAAGTTGATTACTTTGGGGCTAGCTGGCGCTGTGTGTAATT